CATTAAATTTTGGACTATTTTAGATTAGTTCTTAATTGGTACTAATTTTAGTGATAAATTATAAAATACATAGAAATTAATCCAAGAATTTTTGATAATTGATCAAAAGATGATGTTCCTTAAAATAAAGGATATCCTAGATATAACTAGGCTGCAACACATCCTACTGACCACATATCTATAGCACAAGTCTTTTTATAACCTAGAATAATCTAAATAATTAATATAATTAGACATATACCTCAGGTGCTCTATAATACAAACTTTATATGTAATAATATAAATTAACATTTAATTCAGATGCAGATCCAAAATCAATTATCTAAATTTATTTAGCTGTATTACTATAATAATAATTAAAAGTTACTCAGTGAATAAAATGTTTTCTGGTTTTATATCACAATGAACCCAATTTAATGAATGTAAGAATTCTAATCCTGATATTAATTATTTTAAAATATTTTTGATCATATTTAATGAAAGACCCTAATATTTAGTTTCTTGTAATAATTCTTCTAAATTGAATCCTAATAATGGAAAAACTATGCAAACGTGATTTTTAAAAAGAAAATAATCAATCAATTTAATTATGTATTAATGCTCTTATTTTTTATTAAGGAATCTAATCAATTTAATTTCTTTCATGGCTTATATATTGTATGCATTAATATTTTTTATTATTTTGATAGCAAAATTTGAATTATTCTTCACACATCTATAAACACTTCCAAAAGTACCAACACCTAACAATTCTTTAGCAATATATTAATTGCCTGTCTTTTCATTTATTATTATATCATCCAATCTTATAATTAAATCATAATTTTCATTATCTAATCCATCATTGTATACAGCTACATTTATCTCATTTAATACCTGCATTTGGCTGAGTAAGAGTTCTAGGAATCACAGAAATTGTTTAAGTGAACTATAACAACTATCTAATTTTTGTTGTGACAAGATGAATTGGTTATTTATCTCTTTACAATTGTTTTGTTTTTAGACTCTCATTTTAACAATCATATAATTAAAAGTGAGTCTTTTAAATACCAAATTAAGAAAAGCTAAGGGTAATGTTAAACATAAAAATCTTTATAATTTTATTAATTCAGAAAGATGTTAGAGTATATAAATGATTTATTTTTATCTCCTTAATCTTGTACTAAGTTATAAAGATCTAAATTAGAATAACAATTAAAAAATTATCCATTTATTTTATATAGATGTGCAACCCCTTACATAAATTTACATATTTTCATAATAAAATTGTTTTAAAAATATATACTCATTTTAAATAAAATACTAATCAAAAAAATTGTAGATTTACTTAGTTTATAATATTCTTAATTTTACTTAAACATGATAATATTATGTATATAAAATAATTAATGTTAATACTTTTCTTAGTTTATGTTTAAGCATAATTTACATCCAAATTACACTTTCATTATCCTAATACTGATGAATCCATTGCAGTATTTACAATCACTAATAAAAATTAAATTAATTTCACTAATATTACTAAACCAATTTATTTATTTCTAAAATCACTTTTAGAAAATTTACACATTGATGTCAAAGTCAAAGAATTATATATCAGTTTTTTTAAAGAAATGATAACTAAATGCCCCTTAATATGATGTTTTTATTATTACAAATGAAGAGGCTGATTAATTAATTGCTATAAATCAGGCTATAGAAATTTTTAGAATTGCAAAATATATTATGATCTATTATAAGAAATATTAGTATAAATTTGATGGAAATTAATTACACTTTTCCTTTATGGTATTTGATGATGATACAATACAGCAAATTAAGATGGAATGATTACTGTATTACTATATTTTCCATATGAACTTATACCTATTTATCATAATTAGAAACAAATTTAGAAAGTTAAAAATAATTAATTTGGGAAGGCTAAACTAAAAAAATTATTATTACTGCTAAATTGTAGTATTTGTTAAATTTCATAAAAATTGGAATTAGTTTAAAAATATCCAAAGAGGATAGGGTATTGTAAAAAATTAATTTAATTATAATAGATTACATTCTCAGTTATTTTCAATTATAAATTATATTTAACATCATATTAAATAACAAGATAACAATTTCCAGATTTTTCTATAGAGTTTTAACATGATTATTGGCAATAGGATATATTTTACTTTATGGCATTTGATAAATTCATTTTTAATAAACTAGAAAAAAGATTAAGCTTAAAGACTAATAAGAAAAATATTTTCATTAAGATCATTTAAAATTTTTAATATTGTATTGAGATATATATTATTTTGTAAATTTCATTGAACTTGATTATTAGATGATATATATAAAAATAATAATATAAGTAAAAATACTAAAAGTGAAATGATTAAATGAAAATAGAGAGTGATTGTAAAGTGTATGCATAAACTATAATACTGTTTAAAAATCATAAATCGTCATGATACATAGAACTTATTGATTGCTATTATTATTCTAATTCTAATTTTTATTATTCTCTTTTGGTTGAATATTCCTTGAATTCAATTACTTTATCTAAATAACAATATGATTATTATAATATACCTCCATTTGAATCATAATCTAGAAAGAATTAAGCAACAAAATCAGCTGTATTATATGGGTTCTAAGATGGAAATTGTGCTCTTAATTCATCATATTTAAGGACTTTATCCCCATCTTAATCAAACATCAAGAAATCAGCTTCATATGGTTGTAATCCAAGTACTATTCCTAATAGTAATAACACAATCACACGTCTCACCATTTAATTTAATTATTAATACTATTCGTTATTCAAGAATTGAGTTCTTTTTCATACATATTTTTAAAAAATATGACTAAAATAAACATAATCTATACAATATCACTCTATTTTTTTAAGAAATAAATAATAACTCAATAAATAACTGTACTTGGATCCCAACAAGTATGATAATTTTGATTAAGATTGTCAATAACATTCATATCATTTTCACAAATTTCAAAATCAAATATTTCAATATTTTCTTTGATATATTTTGGAGTCTTTGATTTTGGTAAAATAATGAATCCTTTTTATACAGCCCATCTTAAACTTATTTATGCAACACTTTTATTGTATTTCTTTGAAAGCTCAATCATTTTTTCATTCTATATTAATTTTGGATCATTTCTAGCAATAGGAGAATAGGCTTCTATTAAAATGCCTAATTATATATTACTAAATATTACCTTGTTATTAACAATATTAAACAGTAGCTTAATCCCAACATAAGGGATGTACTTCTATTTAATTGATAACAGGTTTAATTTTACAATGTTACATAAGATGTTCAAGATGATGTTTTAAGAAATTGCTGACTCCTATATTTTTAATCAATCCTTCTTAAAATAATTACTCTAAAGCTTTATAAGTTTAAAGTCTAACAGTGGCATTTTCAGGACTATTAGGTTTATTACCTGAAGAACCTGGCCAATGAATTAATAATAAATCAAGGTATGTTGTATCTAAATCTTATAAGATCTTTTTGCAAGCTTTAATAGTATTCTCATATCCTTGTTCTTATGGGGCAATCTTAGAAGTGATGAAAATGTCTTCTCTTTTAGGAACTCTAATATCCTTACCATTTCTATAACAAGAAGCAGAATCTATGTGAGTATATCCTCTAAGAATAATAATTTATTAATATGATTACATTTATAAAGCATATTTGATTCCATCCACTAATTCATTTCCTTTACATTAATAAGTACCATAACCTATTTATGGAATTTTATTGCCATTATTCAAAGTTAAAAGAGGAATAATAATTTTTTACATTTTATTTAAATAATTCATATTCTAAAGCCATCAAAAAAAGAATGTGCCATAGCCTCTTCTGCTGTAAGTCTTAATTTATGATCATAAACTAACAATTTACTTATTAGATCCAAACCTTCTTTTGTAACTAAATGAGCATTCTCTGGATCTATATAAATTGTAAAAGGTTTTTATGAATGACTGATAAAAATAAATATATAATCTTTACATAGGTGGATCAGGATAGATGAGATCATATTTTTCCAAATATTTAAGGAGATCTTCAGTACCCAAAACTGTAACAATTTTATCTAACTAATCATAAACATCTTTGCCTTTGAATAAGGGTTATTTTTGAAAAATCATGCTTGCTAATGTACAACCAAAGGCCCACATATCAACACTGTAATCATATTATTTATTATTGACTAATAATTCAGGAGCTTTGTAATAACGAGTTCCTACTCTTGTATTATATCTCTTTTTTGGATGGTAGAACTCTCCTAAACCCCAATCAATTAGATAGAGTGTATCATCATCTTTTATTATAATGTTAGCCATTTTGACATCTCTATGCATTACTCCTTTACTATGTACTTAATTAAGAGCCTTTTAAGTATTGTAAATACTTTTAGTAATTAGTACATGTATAATTTTATCTTTGGTAATTCTAGTTTTCCAAATAAATGAAGTAAATTTACACTACTCAAATATTAATATATAAAAGTGGCATTCTGTTTCTTATTTTAATTTCTAATAGCATCAATCAATTATAATGTATTTGTTGTTCCTTTTATAGCTTTCAATACTTATATTTCTCTGTTAATTGCTTACCATTTCATAGGTTTTAGTTCTTTCATCACTACTATCTCACCATCATCTCGAAGTCCAAGGAAAACTTAAGAAAAGGCTCCTTATCCTATTTTATCATATTTTGTATATCTTTTGATGTCTCCATCTTTGTAATATAAATATCTTGGGTCTACATCTTTTAAACGCTTATTGAAATTGGCATTCCAATAAACTTTAGATACATACAAATGATTCTAATTCTTTTATTTTTTATTACATTGTAATATTCATCATCATAATAGAATATATTCTCAAAATGATTCTAATGTGGTTTAGTGCTTAGTTTGCACTATCCTAAAATTGTTAAGATCATCAATATTATATGCATATTAAAACGATAATTTATATTATAATATAAATGTCATATTAATTTGGGGGTAGTCAATTGTAACAATAAAATGTGCCTAATGCCAAATATAAAACTATGCTATGTCGTCATTACTAAGGTAAAAACTACATATTAATATAAAGCTACTAAATAATGTGCCATTGGTAACAAATGTTAATTTGCTCATGGAACTTAAGAATAAAGATAAATTAATGGTATTCAATAATATCTTATTCTTTATCAGATCCATTACCTGCTTCTGCATTATCAGCCATGGCTACCGTTATTGAATAACCACAAAATAAACCTCAACCTCCCATATTTTAAAGTATAGCTTAAATTATTAATATTTTGTTCCTTGTAAATACCATGCCTAAAATTATTGTAAAAATGGCTAAAATTGTTAATATATTCACGGTATTTCTAATCTTTATTTTAGACTCCGATACAATTTAATAGTAACCAATACCATTTACATAATAAACATAGTTGCCCTCACCTCCTCCTTAAGTGAAGCAAGAAGATCCAATGCAATTAGTTTTTTAGCACATTTCATTTGAGATGCAATACATATTTCCATAAGATGTGAGATTTACAAATAAAATATAGGATATTATATAAAAATTAAAGATAGCCTAGGAATAGGCAAGAGTTGGTAATCTTATCGCTGTTGCTGAGTGTATAAAAAGTATTATTCATGCTCCAGAACGTACTTAAGAAGAAATACTTAAATATACAAATCTCTATAACTAGGCAGTCACATATTTTAATTAGATCTCATAAGCGAATTGAATTGAATATTTAAAATAATTATAATCATCAATAGACAATTATATCTATACTCTGAATTCATTTCATAAATTTAACTTATATTTATATAAATAAAAAAATTAGAGTTTTCAAATAACATAATTTAGTAGAATTTTTTTTTTTTTAAATAAAAAAAAGTATCTAAATAAAATAAAATAGTTGTATAATTTTATAGTCATTTCTATATTAAAGACAATGGATTATGATAAATATAATAATGGATAATTTAATAAATTCTTAGAAGTTAAGAATTTGAATGTTATGTTTGCATGAAAAATCAATTTTTAATTTTAATATTAAAAATGTCAATTTTGAGTGAGCATACTATTACATTAAAAAATGAAACTATTACAACAATTTCTATTTCAAACAGTGCTATAAATCCATTTATAGCAATATGTACAACATCAAGAGTGATATTATATAATGATTAAGGGGAAAAATTAGATTATGATTTTACTCATAATTAAAAACCTACTGCAATAGTATGGCATCCTATTCAGCCACAATTATCAATAGGATGGCAGAATGGTAGATTTTACAAAATATAATTTAGGTACAATAACATTATGGTCAGAGGATACACGTACAGCTAAGGAGGAATCAGCTGTACATAAAGAAGAAATTAATTTAATTCAATATAACACAAATGGATCTAGAATGGTTAGTGCAGATATAACAGGTCTGGTAGTAGTATGGAGAGGAATAACACCAATGTGTACTTACCAAAAAGAAGGTATATAAACAATTTGTATATTTGCTGATTTGAATAATATCATCAAAGCTTAAAATTTATTCTTTTTTGGTGGTAAGTCAGGATTAGTATGTTTGGCTGATGATAGTAAACATTGTTCAGAGGTTTGTAAAGTTGTAGGTAGTATTAAATGTTTGATGATATATGAGAAATATAATTCAGTCATTATAATCACAAGTGGTTTACTTTTAGTTTAATTTAAAATAAGTACAAGTGAAAAGACATAGCCAGATAAAAAAGTTAAATTATCAATAGCAGGAGAGTCAGAATCATTATAATCGGTTTGGATTGGTTAATGTTTAATAGCAATTTCATCAAATGAAAATATGATTAGAATGCTTTAGTTAGAAGCTGATGAAAATTATGTTATTACTTTACATGAATATTAAGAATTATATCCTAAAGATAAGATATTAAATGATAAAATTACATGTATTCAATATAGCAAGAAATCTAAGAATTTGATTGCAGGAACTAAAGATGGTAAATTACTATTTTGGAAAAACTTTGCATCAACAGATGAATCTCCTGTTGAAAGTGAATAGTGGAAAACATTAAAAATTATTAATCATAATAAACCTATTAATGAAATTGTTATTGGTAAAAATAGTGGATTAATTGCTGCAAGATCTTCAGATTCTGTTAAAATAGTTTAAGAAACATTAGTTCATGGAAAAATACAAGATACTGTAAGAATTTTATAAGTAGATTTTAATAAAATTTTGATCTATTTTAAAAATGATTAATAAAATTAAGATAAAGGAGTTTGGCCTATGTTTTTATGGGATAGCAAATATCCTATTAAATCTATTGATTGTACTTAATAATATCTTTTGATTTAAAGTGCAAATAAGATTGAAATTAGTGAATTTACAAGTAATATACTAATAAATTTATTTAGATAATTCTTAAATTTTATAAAAATCATCTTTTGATAAGAAATGTGTAAAAGCTGCACTATTTTAAGAAAATCTTATATTATTTTATGAATATAAATTTGAAGTAACAAATTTTAAAGGAGTTTAAAAATATTTTGTTGATTTTTCAGAAAGTGATGGAGCTATAGCAAATTATGAATTTAACAATAAAACTATGGTTATATGGACATATAATAATTATTTTAGATTATATGATTTTAGTAGAAGGGAAGCATAACTTTAAGGATTTAATTGCAAATTTGAAAATGACAAAGGTTCTTTAGGTACAATTAAATAATGTGCTGTTAATTGTGATGGAACCAATGTTGCCATTATAGCAGATAATCATGGAAATCAAAATGATTTATTTTTTGTTTACAATTCAGAAAACAATAACTTTTAATCATTTGAATTACCTAAATATAGAAAAGCTATTTAGATTATGTGGGATCATTCAGATCCTAGATTTTTTGGTGTAACTACTATTTGCACTAAAATCAAAACAAATAGTGAAAATGATGTTGAAGAAGAATAAACTGATTTTAGAGCTAAAAAGTTTTTCACTTTTTTCTTCAATCAATAATTAGGTATTAAAGAATAAGATTGTTATATACTTGATGAAAAATAAGAGGGAGTTTTGTCTATTCGTATTCCTTACATTTATGTTATTTAGATAAAAGAAATTATTGTTAATGATAATAATATTGGTTAAACAAAAGATCAAAACACAAATTAAGATAACCTTAAGAATGATAGTAATGCTATTAAGATAAAAGAATAATCAAATAGAAATTAAGATAACTAAAAAAAAAATGATAATAATGTTTAGAGAAAAGAACAATCATACAGAATTTAAGATATCCTTATGAATGATTTTACTGGTTTAGAAAGAGCAGATGAACCTACTAAAAGAGCTGTTATTAATTTCTCATATCATTTATCTTGTGGTAATTTGGATGAGGCCTATAAATCTGTAAAAGCTATTCAAAATCCAACTGTATGGGAAAAAATGGCTTAGATGAGTGTTAAAACTAGAAGGTTGGATGTTGCTGAAATCTGTATAGGAAATATGAGATTTGCAAGGGGTGCTAAAGCAATAAGAGAAACAAAGAAAGAACCATAATTTGAAGCTTAATTAGCTATGGTAGCTATACAATTAAATATGATCTCAGAAGCTGAAAAATTATATTATTAATGTAAAAGATATGACTTACTTAATTAATTATATTAGGCATAAGGATAATGGGAAAAGGCAGTAGAAATAGCAGAGAAACATGATAGAATTAATCTATTATCAACTTATTACAAATTAGCCAAACAATATGAAATTTCTAAAGAATGGGATAAAGCAGTATAATATTATGAAAAATCTGGGAATGCATTAAAAGAAGTACCTAGGATGTTTTATGAAGCTGATGAATTATAATATTTGGAAGGATATGTCTTATAAAAGAAAGACCCTGTACTTTATAAATGGTGGGGTAATCATTTAGAGTCAGAGGAAAAATATGAAGAAGCAATGAAATTTTACTTAGAAGCAAATGATGCTTTAGGAATTGTTAGATTATCATTACATTAAGATAATTTAAAATATGCCAAAGAGATTTGTAATGAAAAGAATGATCCAGCAGCTCATTATTACTTAGCTAAATATCTAGAAGCTAAAAACATTTTACCAGAGGCTATTTAATTTTATACTAAAGCTTAATATTATAGTGAAGCTATAAGATTGGCAAAGGAAGCCAATTTAATTTCAGATGTGACAGCAATATCATTGTAAGCACCTTAATTAATAATGATATAATCAGCCATCTATTTTGAATAAAAGAAAATCATTGATAAAGCAGTTTTACTTTATATGAGAGGAGGATAATTATAAAAAGCATTATATTTAGCTTAAAAAGAAAAATTGACTGATTATGTTAAAAAAATTAATTAAGAAATCTCACTTAAAAAATAAGAAACAGTAGACTTAACCTTTACTAATACTGGTTCATTGAAAGAAACACCATCGTAATAAAAATTAGCCAATTAATAATAATAACTATAATAACAATCTATTTAATCAAAAGATAAAACACCACCTCCAGGATCATTATAAGATTTGATTAATAAAAAATAATTTGAAAAAGTCTTAGAGACTTGTGATAATTAAGGTTTATAAATAACTGATGATCTTGTTAAACAAATGTTAGATGGTCTTGATGATAAAAGAAAAAAAGAGGTATAATTACTTATTGCTGAAAAATCAAAAAAAATGGGCAATTTTGAATAAGCTTCTAAAATGTATATATAGATGGGAGAAAGGGTTAAAGCAATGAAGGCACTTTGTAAATTAGGTGATGTTGAAAAAATTATTGCTTTTGCAAATAATGCTAGAATGGCTGAAATATATATTCTAGCAGGTAATTATCTTTAAACTGGTGATTGGCATAAAACTCCTGAACTTATGAAACATATTATATAATTTTATAACAAAGCCAAAGCATTTGATCATTTGGCAAATTTCTTTGAAGCCTGTTCTTCAGTCGAAATTGATGAATATAGAGATTATAATAAAGCTTGTGCTGCATTGAAAGAAGCAATTAAATATTCAGAAAAATCAACTAACCAATAAAAAACATAACAATTATAATAGAAATTGAAATTGATATCTGAATTTATTTAAGCAAAATAGAAGTCACCATAAGAAATGATATAACTCTATTATAAGTTATTAAATGATGTATATATTAATAATAATTGTTAGAGTAATATAGAATATGCAGTAAGATAAGGAGATATTTTTGCTGAATTAATTGAATACTATTATGCTCAAGGTCAATATGAAAAGGCCTATGAAGAAATTTAGAAAATGTAGAAGAAATCTATTGTACTCAATCCTTATTTAGATTAGGAATTAGTAATATTTCTACTTATTTTTAGATATAAAAAGTTATGAATTATATGAAATAACAAGTAGGTAGTCAATAATAATAATAAAAATAATAATAAAATAAGAAGCAACCTTATGGAAAATAATAAGAGTAAAATGATGATGATTTCTAAGAGGAGGATGTTATTGATGATGGAATATGAATTTTATATATATAAATTAATTATTAGTTATTCAAAACTTATTTTTTTAGTTTATTATTATCTCATATGAATATAATTGCATTTATTAAAATTGAGTAAATCCTATTATAATTTTTTTGTTAAAATTTGACAATACCATTTTAAGTCAGATGGAACTTAAAATAATGTTGATCTATCTGAAAAGTAAACCGTCTATATAACGAATTTATGTTTAAACAATTTTGTTTAAAAATTAGGTTTTTTTGAAATTCAATTCACTCTCAATTTAGTTTTTATAATTATAATTGAAGTATTTATTTACAGTATATATAATATATTTAATCAGCATAAAATGATGTAATTTTAGGATATGGTTATTATCATTTAACATAAATGTGGAATGATTATGTTTAAATAAAATTATATTTAAATCAAATACTTAATAAATTAAAATTTTATACTAATTTAATAGGAATTTCTAATATTCTGTTTTAATTACTTTATAGAACATACTATAATTTTGAGGTTATTTAACTGTAAATCTTAGTTTATCATTCCAATAAATTAAGTATATAACAAACATGCAAGCAAATTACCAAGCAGAGTTAGAATGTAAGTCATAAGATTAAATTATAAGAATTGTAAACCAATGCTATTGAATTGGCATATTAAACTATTGAGGAAGGAAAATGGGAAAAGGAAATTGAGCAAGATGGAGTTGTTTTCTATTCCAAACCTGGCTCTACAGGATGGAAGATCACAAGATCGGAACTTATAGCTGAAATAGACCCAAAAAAAGCTGTTGATGTACTTAGAGATTATACTAGATTTTAAGAATATAACCATACAGCTTAAGAAGTATATTAATAATCATATAATTATTAGATTAATCTCATTAAGAAGATTGATGATAATATTTCTATTCAATATATTTTAACCAAACCTAATTAAGTTTTACAATAATAAAGAGATATAGTCACTTTATCTAGAGTCTCATCCTTGCCTGATGGTACATTTTTTATTGTTTGTAAATTTATATTTTAGATATTTTTAGCAAAATCCATTGAAGTACCTGAAGCTCCCATAAAAGAATAATATGTTAGAGCAGAGATAATTCTAAGTTTCTTTGGATTTAAACCTGTTGAGAATGGATAAACCTTAGTGACAATGGTATAATCTTTTGATCCAAAAGGAGATGCACCAAAAGACCTTTTGAACAGTTTAGCCAATAAAGTAGTCAATTATAATAAGCTATTTGTTGAGAATCTTAAAAAGGCAACAATCAAAGAGTGATTACAATAAATTATAGATTGTAACATATAGAATTATCCATTATATATTAAATTAATAATGAATCTTGTTATCTTTTATATTTGTATTTCCCTTTTTTTCTTATTATTCTACTTTTTTCCTCTATACTCTAGATGTTGTGAATATAAGAAATTGACATAGTTTTTAATAATATTTAAAAGAATTATTAATGAATTAAGCTTTGATTAAATTCTATAGCTTCTCTATTCTTTAATGAGATAAGAATTATTAAAATACACTTCCTGATACAAATTTAATTATCATCCTTATTATAATTAAAAAGATTTGTAGTTAATTTAAAAATTTTAATATATAAATTTAATATTAAGAAAATTTATGGCTATTATTATAATTAATTTTTTATAATAACCATAAATTTATAAAAAAATCAGAAGCAATCAGAAAAAATTTAGTATACTCACTTGAAAACAAGAAGCAACATTCTATTTGATTCAATTTAATAAGTATAAAAATAAAATGTCAGATTAATTACCAGCAGTTATAATAGATAATGGTTCTGGATAATGCAAAGCAGGTATTGCAGGTGAAGATGCTCCAAGATGTTGTTTTCCTGCTATTGTTGGAAGGGCAAAATAACAGGTTGCTATGTGTAGTATGGATAACAAAGATGTATATGTTGGAGATGAAGCATAAGCTAAAAGGGGAGTCTTATCCTTAAAATATCCTATTGATAATGGTATAATAAATAATTGGGATGATATGGAAAGAATTTGGCATCATGCCTTTTTTAATGAATTAAGAGTATCTCCTGAAGATTAACCAATTTTATTGACAGAAGCTCCAATGAATCCTAAATTTAATAGAGAAAGAATGATTTAGATAATGTTTGAAACATTTAATGTTCCATCCTTTTATGTTTCTATTCAAGCTGTTTTGTCACTTTATTCATCTGGAAGAACTACAGGATTGGTACTTGACTCAGGAGATGGAGTTACTCATTGTGTACCAATTTTTGAAGGTTATTAAATGCCTCATGCTATTTCTAGAATAGATTTAGCAGGTAGGGCATGTACAGACTATTTATCAAAAATATTAAATGAATTAGGATATTCATTTACATCATCAGCTGAAAGAGAAATTGTAAAAGATATTAAAGAAAGACTTTGTTACACAGCATTAGATCCAAAGGAAGAGGAGAAAAAATATAAAGAAAGCAATTCTTAAAATAGACCATACGAACTACCAGATGGAAATATATTGACAATAAAAGATTAAAGATATAGATGCTCTGAAATTTTATTTGCACCAGAATTAATAGGATTAGAAGTTCCAGGAATTCATTAATTATCATTTACTTCAATTATGAAATGTGATATTGATGTTAGGAGGGATCTATATAATAATATAGTAATGTCTGGGGGAACTACTCTCTTCCCTGGAATCCCAGAGAGATTAAGTAAAGAAATGACTAATTTGGCACCTTCATCAATGAAAATTAAAGTAGTTGCTCCACCTGAAAGAAAGTTTTCAGTATGGATTGGAGGATCTATTTAATCTACCTTATCTACATTCCAATCCTAATGGGTAACAAGATCTGAATATGATGAAACAGGTCCATAAATTGTTCACAGAAAATGTTTCTGAGAATTTATAACAAATTGTGAAATATATAATTATTAAATTTATATTTACCTAATATATTTTTAAAGAATTTAAATGATTTTATCTTTTATTAAATTCTATTATATTTCCAAAGAATATAACTTTATTTTTTTTATTTATATTAGTTTTATATAGAATATTAATTTAAGATTTCAAATCTATAGAAAGGTTATAATTAATTTTATTTTAATAAATATAAAAAGTCTATTTTATAAAATTTAAATAGAAGAGGCATAATAATAAAACAAGTCTGGATATTTTCTTAAAAGAACTAATGAATTATAATTTAGCTGTTATAAACTTAATTTTATAACATTCTATAATTATTATTTAATATAAAAGAATAACATAATCTATATTTCATTAGATATAAGAAATATCCAAAACATAAAAATCAATTAAAGCATGAATCATCCGAAGGTGCTTAATATAAAAAAAATATTGATTCATAAATTACTATAAATTGTCTATAAGATGATTCATTTTAGAGTTTAAATTTTAGATATTATATTTATCAGATACTAATATCAAAATAATAGTAGATTAGAAAATTAAGATTAGTTGGTCTAAAAGCTATTGAATAAAATATAAGTGAGATGATATTTTCTTTATTATTAAATTTTAAATGAAAAACATTTAGATATCTGTATGAAGTAATATATTGTTAATCAATTAATAATTTTTTAATATGCTTTGATTTCAAGATTTTATTAGAAAATGGCTGTCTTTATCCATATATTAGAAATTTTTTCGAATTCTCAAATGTAATCAAAAGGTTGAGATATGATATTGATTATTGATGAGAATTAGTTTTATTTGCTAAATTTATGACCAGAAATATTTTTATTATAAATTTCAAATTTTTAATATATAAAATATTTATACTCAATAAAAGAATATAACAGTTATGAGTAAATGTGTTATGAAATGAAATTTGCAAAATTCTTAATTTATAAGTTGAATATAAATAAAGAAATGGTTTTAGCTTTGATAATTGAGAAAATTAAGGTTGTAGAATAAAAAAAATTCTAATTAATTCACATTACCTAGCATTTACAATCTCTATCCGACTCATTTTTCAATTTTTTCTAAGTAGCATCTTTTCTTTTTCTAAGATTAATAAAATAAAAATTTTACTTTATATATTAATCAATTTAACTTATTGATAATTCTTCTGCTTGAGTTTTTCCACTTTATAAATCTCTGTATTTTTGATCTGTTGAATTCATAGAACCAAGGATCTTTTAAACTGTTTCTTAGTTGAATTCAGTTTTAGACTTTATACTATTTAATGGTTCTTATAGCATTTGAGGACGATCGCCTAAACAATTATTTAAGTAAATTCTGAGATGCTACTCTATTTTAGGATCAAATTTTTATTGAGCTAAAATGGAATTTAGAAATTGTTTTGCTTTAAGTTTTTCTTAATATAATATTTCCTTCAAATGATGTGATTTTTGGCATTCATATTATTAATCATAATGTATTGAACTTGAAAGATTGACTTATAATATTAATTTGTTATGCAACATTGCCATAATTTAATCAAAATTTTATTCCTTTATTTAAGATTCAATGGCTGCTTGAAAATCTGCAGCTATACCTATTACATTTAAAAAGTCTTATCTCACTGTATATTTTACTACCTATTCTTCTGTATTGATTTGACTTGTTTTAAATTTTTAGTGTTCAATTTAACTTGAATGATTTGAATAATCTCTTTGACGAGAATCTTAGTACATAAGCTATAATAATTATTACTTACCTTATTTAATTTTCAATAAATGAATTATGATAACATTTTATTCTATTATTGATAATAGAATATATTTTTTTAATTTAAGCTATCTAATAATTATCAGATATATAAATAAATGTAAAAGGAAGAATAACAATTTAAAGAAAAATAAATCTAAAAAGAGATTTAATACTATATATTTTAAGATTTGGAAAATGTTTTGTGTTTAATAGGCGAACTAGAATAAACAATACATACATTATAAAACCAAGATGATTATAAATAATCTTACCTTCCAATAGCAACAAATAAAACAATTTTATAAGCAAATATATCTAATGGAATTCATTTTGATTAATATTATTAACATCATAAAACACATAAAAAATTTTTAGAAGAATGCAAGAATAAAGCAAGAGATATTTTTGAAGAAGTTAAAAAAAAAAAAGGCATAAATGCTACAGATCCTAAAATTTAGGAGATTTGTGACTTTTATTTGAACAAGAATTTGAAAGCAGAAACCTCTTTTTATTAACTTCCTTTATTACCAGTATCAAGGGAGGCATAATTCAATTAAAAAGCTTTGGAAAAAGTAATTTGGGGAACTCAAACTGTGAACAACTAATTAAATGCTCTCCAAAATTCAAAATATTAACCTCCTACTGTTAAATAAATTTTGGAAAAAATTAAGTAAAAATTTTATAATAAATTTAGTTAAAGGAAAAAGTATTGTGAAGAATAGTTGATCGAGAACTTTGGTATAAATCAACAAAATTAACCTAATGAAACAAATAATTCAAAAAATTTAAGAGAATTCGAAACAGAAGAAGATAAATAAATTTTGAATGATAAAACTATCATTTAAGATTAAAATAGTTAAGTTTTTGAACATAAATAACAAAAGAATTAAAATGGTATGTAAATTGAGGATGAATCAACTGAATAAAATTTGCCAAAAAATAAATTAGATAAAGATGACAAAAGTAAAGAGAATACTGATCCAAATAAAGAACAATAATAAGAGAATGATACAAATGGTATATAAATTGAAGATGAATAAGATTTAAGGAATTCAAAGGCTACTAAAGTTTAGGATTCAAAATTTGGAATAACTGAATTACCAAAAGCAACTAAAGGAGATGAAAATGATTGCGTTGAAGAAGGTGTTGATTAGCAGTGAGAAGATTAGATTAAGCAAACGTACATATGATTTTTTCTGATAAATCTATGTTGTTTTCATTTATTTTTTATTTCATAATTATATTAAAATAAATATAAAAATTTCAATGGGAACTTTACTATTGAATTTAGGATAATGTGGAAATCAACTTGCTTTACAAATGTTTAATCTTATTGATAAATCTTCGATGCATGAGGGAAATATGTTTTTGAGAAGACGAGAATCAAATATATATCACACTATTTTAGTTGACACAGAACCAAAAATATTGAAACCAATTGTTGAAGTATGTTATAGATAACATAATAAAAAAGGATAGAAAATTGTACTCACATATTGATGTCAAAAATGTTCTTTACTATTAATATGGAAGAGGTAATAATTGGGGTTTAGGTTATCTTAATTTTAAATAGAAATCTAAACTTTCTAAATCTAATTAATAGTAAGCTATCTCTGTTTTTAAGTCTTCTACTAATGAAGTTTCCATATAGTAATATTGTTAAGAAAATGAGTAAATAGTTGAATAAATTATTAATTAAGCAAGAAAAGAAATAGAAAAAACTGATTATTTTTTAAGCATTTCTACAATAATGAGTTTAGCTGGTGGTACTGGGTCTGGTTTAGGTAGTAGAGTAATTTAAGAGTTTTCTGATATATTTCAAGAAGTTCATTAAAATGTAATAGCAATATTTCCGAATAAAACTGGTGAAACACCACTTTAGCATTATAATACACTTTTATCATCAGCACATATATAATAATATGCAGATTCAATTATTTATTTTGAGAATGACAGAATATATTAAATGTTAAGTTAGATTGGATCAAAACAAATAGATAAAAGTGTTGATTTATCAAATGTAAATGAATATATAGGATCTTGTCTAATGAATTTATTTTGGATTAATGATAATTATACAAATGCTCGTTATTATTAAGATCTTTTATCTGAATGTTGCATAACTGAAGGTCATAAATTTATTGAAGTAGTATCAGCTCCATTTACTTTATTTGCTCATTCAAATTTGGGACCATTATGTACTTGGGAAGAATTGATAAAAAGTTCTTTAGAATAATATGCATTTGAAAAATTTGAAGATGATAGTGATTAATAATAATAAATTGGAGAAGCAGTTACAAAATCTTTATAAATTCAATCAGTTTAAAAAAAAGGAGAAACTACTTTAAATCTTTAATCTGTATTTAGATCAGAAAATGTATTGAAGACATTATAAGATTCAGATTCTCATATGAAATTTTTAGAAAGGAAAATTAATTCTGTTTTTAATCCTATTTAATGGAATCCTGATGCGGTTTAATTGCATTTTATTAATGAAAAGTCTTCAGTCAAAGGACATGATTAAAAAATGAATGTCACTTTAATTAATTCAACTAAAATCATTCCAATATTAAAGAATGTGAGTAAAATTGCCTATTAGAAATATAGAAGTGGAGCATATTTGCATTGGTATTGGAAATATGGCTTAGAAAATCAAGATTTTGATAATGCTTTTGAATCTTTATAAAAAATACAAGATGATTATAATTATATGGTAGAATATTGATAAATTTTAGTAATTTCAAATTCATTTTTTATAATTCGTTCTCTTTTCATCATCCCATCTAATTCGTTTTCCATTCAACCATTCTCCTGTTCTTTCAATTTCTCCAACAACATATAATCCTTTTCCATGTTATTTTCCATATTCCCATTCTCCTTCATATCTTCTTCCATCACTCCATTCATATATTCCATAACCCTTATATTAAATAGTTAAAATATACATGTTTTTAATCATTGAAATATTAACCATAATATTTTCTACCATCTGGCCAAGTATAAGTTCCTTTGCCATGCATATTATTATTCTAAAATTCACCTTCATATTTTCTACCATCTGGCCAACATAGAATACCATAACCACATAATTTATTATGAACCCAATCCCCTTCAAAATATTATCCTGTTGGCCATATATATTTCCCTAATTTTAATAATATAATTTACCTTTTCCATGTTTAAAACTGTTTTAAAAGAATCCTTGATAGGATGATCCATCTGGCCACACTTCTGAACCATATCCATGTTATTTATCATTGAACCATTATCCTTCATATTTTGCTCCTTAAATATGTTAATAGATTCCGTATCCGTTTGCCATATCATTCTCCCAATCTCCATCATAAATATCTCCATTGGAATGGGTGAATTTCCCTTTACCTTAAGCTTTATTATGTTTCCATTCTCCTTCATATTTTGCTCCATCTGGCCATACTTATATACCTATTCCATCTCTTGCTTATCCTTTCCATTCTCCTGTATATACAGCACCACCTTTGAATCTTATACTTTTTATTTGTATACTTAAAAGGTTAGCGTGTTTCTCTTTCAAATTCATCTTGGTTTATAGTAATTCCTGATTCAAATTATTCTTATAGATCAACTTCATGAGTGTTTATAGTTTTTTAAGGAATTGATTCTATTATTTTTTAGTAAGTCAGCTTTTTTCTAACATAATAACCTCGCCAATATTTTTAAATGATAGTTGCCATTTTATTTTTTACAATGACTTTTGATGTTGATTTTTAAGAAGATGTAGCAACAACGAGTACATATTCCTAAAAATATATAATGAGATGTCTTTTGTTACAGCTTTCTCAATATCTATATATTTCTCTTTTTCACATTTACAATTGTTACACTATGATCCCATACTTTATAACTAATCTATAATTATTTAATAAATAATCATTAATTAAGAAGATTCCAAAAATCTTTTCTTTGAAGTTTATGCATCAAATATATTATCATTTAATTGAATATACAATAGAGATTTCTTTAATCAATACAAGAAATCTAAAATAAGATTAATGGATTATTCTATCATATCCTTAATTTCTTAAAATCTATTCAAAAATATTGTAACTTAAAAACATATTGTATTTCTTCTATAACCTTATAATATATAAAGAATATAATCCAATAAATAAAAAAATAATTTATAAATATCATTAATAATGTAATTTTAATTGATCTAATTTTTAAATTAAAAGTCTTGAATATATCTTATAAAAAACACATCAATTTCTTTTCCTCATATGTATGTTTAATGATCTTTGTATGGTTTTTTTAGCAATCTGATTAAATCAAAATATTGATTATAAAATCTAGTTGTATCATAATTTTTCTCTATTCTATTATCATATTCATTCTCATTTATTTGCCCATTAGGATATAAATCTACAGGAATTTCAATTTAAAATTTATTTTTCTTAAAAAGATCTTATATATTTTAAATCTTAAAGTTTATAGTTAATATCACAATGTGATGTGATTAAATCCTTTATCCAAAATATAGAGGTGGGCACCTTCCCTCAATAAATTTCAAATCTAAAATCAGCTCTTCTTAAGAATTTATTTCTCCTTATACTTTAGATAGTTGCTTATGAGCCTAAGCAGCAAATTAAAAATTATCACTTTTATCAGCGCTTTCTTTAATAACTATTCTTGAGTATAAAGCTGCGATTATTTCAAAAATACCTATATTACTCGGATAGCCTATTTTTAATTAGATTCTGGTGCCATCTTCATTCAAATCCCAAGTAATTTTTAATGGAATATTTTAATCTAAACTTCTTACTAATTGTATTTGATCATTTACATTTTTAGTAAACCCTGTTGGAATATTGAATTTTAATGGAATTGCAATTTAATACTAATTGTTATTATTTTCCCTTAGTATTAACCTAAAGGATGAACTGCACTTCAAGTAATTAAATTTATTCCTTGATTCGTTAGATTCATAATGAAAAGGTATGATTTTGTGTGTAAAATGGAAATTCAGATTTAAATATTGATTATTATTCTGTTAATCATTATGATCAAAGTAATAGTATGATTTTTCCTTATTTTTAAGAGTAAATTTCTTAGTCCAATAATTATAAAATGCTTCTTCTTCAATTGATATCTAAATTAAAATTAATTATACATAACAAAGATATTTTTCATTAGGTTCACTCACACCTTTTATTATTTCAAAATATTAGATTCTGTCATCATCTTATAATTATGAATTTTATTTAATCTTTCTAATTAATATGCTAGTATTCATTTTAATCTTAATTTTTCTTTATATAATTTATTCATTTTCATTTTCAAATTAACTTTATTATTCATTTTCACCCTCTAATATTGATATTTCCAATAAATGATTTGAATCTATTGTGAGCATTTTTGAATAAAAATAAAAATGAAAAAAACAATAATAATTTAATACATTTATTTTATTTATAAAAAATATTCTATTAAATAGACTAAAGGAAACTAAATTAATATAATGTAATAAAGTAAATCATAGATAATAATTATTCATTAATTATAAAAATCAAATGTTAGATTATTTTAATTTTTTACATCTTTTTTAAATGCATATGCAACTGAATTTTGATTAATATTCTCTTTATTTTGATGATAATAAAGTTGAGATTCTAAATATATTATTCTATCCTTTTAACTTTATATTATTTTTTCTTATTCTTATATAATTTTTTATTTTTATTCTAATTAATCTTAAATAATTCCTAAATCAAAGCTTTTACATTCTTATTACATTGTATATTATAAATCAGCTTAAGATTTTATTTTTTAATTTTTAAAAATAGTTTCCATTTATAATAATTTTTATTTAAGTTGATCATTTTCTTTGATAATCTAATCATAATTTATGGATATTTCTTAAATTTAACTAATACATACAACAAAATTAGAACCACAATCAAATGTTTTAATTTATTTACTTTTTAACTATTTTATATGTTAAATATCAGTTCTAGGAATGTAATCTTTTTAAGCTAATTCTCCTGAAGAATTTTTACCCCAAGAATAAATTTATCCATCTTCATCTAAAATGCAACCAAATCCATTTCCAAGTTTAATTTTTTTAATTTATTATGGAAAATCAATTTTAGTAGGTGTAAGAAATTCTCCAAATATTCCAGACTAATTTATTTTTTAATTAAATACTCCCCATAAATATAATTCATTTTTAGAAGTAATAGCTGCTGAAAAATTTGATGCATATATCTTATTTACATTTTATATCTTCAATGGTTTTAATTAATTATATGAAATTGATTATTTGCCATTTCCTAATTCTCCATTTTTATTAGATCCAAAAGAATAAACTTATCCATTATTTAATACTAATGTATGAGTTATACCACATTTGACTTTATCATATTTATCTAAAAATACCACTTATTAAGGAACAAACTAAAATATATCAATTAATTCACTTACACTTTCATAACAATTCAAACCCAATTAACCATAATCATTTGATCCACACATATATAATTAACAATTAAAATCTATTAATCCCATATGATGTTCTCCACATGAAAACTAATTGATTTTCTTAATTTTGAGTAATTATGGTTAATTTGTATGAATGTTAAATGCTTAGTTTTATCCCCATGTGTAAAGCTCTCCTGTATCTCTTTAAGCTACTGTATAATTAGCAGCTGCTTTAACTCTTATAAATGGCCCTTTTAATTCAATTAATTAAGGAGTAGAAATATAAGAAAGTTGCCTAAATTCAAATTTAAAATCCAATTACGTGTTGAGACCTAATTGTCCTTATTCGTTCAAACCCATAGTGTATAAGCTTCCATTATTTATTAATAAGCATGAATGTTGAAAACCACAGGCAATTTTGACCACAATAATTTTATATGAACAACATTTCGGATTATTTACATTCTATTTTATATACTCATCCCCTAATCCCAATTAACCATATTAGCAATCTTTTTATATTAAATAAAAATATTACTTCCCCATACATAAAGTTCTACAAATACTTAACTTAATTTTACCTGTCTATTTTCGAATTTGAGACATTTAATTAAAATTATAAATTATTACACAAATAGTTGTATTAAAATAAATACTTGAATATATATAT